GCACCTCACCGTGGCCATGGCGCGCCCCGCGAACCTGCTGTCGGCGCTGTCAGTCCTGCTACTGCTGCTGCCGCTGCTCGGAGCCGGTGAGTGTCCCCGGCGCCTGACAGGACCCTCTCGGCCAGAGTGTTAGGAGGAGGAGAGAGAAGGGGAGTGTGTAGGTGGAGCCCTGTCAGCACTGCCCAGAGAGGACTCACGGCACCGCCACCTGGTCCCGGGTATCGGTTCCTCCGAGCCTGGGGAACTAGAGGAAGGCCCCAGGGGGGCCAGGAAAGGGCTGGGTTCCATGCCTATTAAAGGGTCTGAACTGTTGTAGATTGAGTTGCATGCAATGACCAGAACGCCCACGCATCTCCTAGCTCCCGTTCTCCTCTTCCTCTTTTGTGGTGCATCTGCACCGTCACAGAACAACCTACAACTTCCACAACACCGTCTCCGGCAGGTGGGGAAACTCCATTTGCTCCACGTGGGCATCACCTCTTCTGTCCCCTGTAAGGACTGGGGAAGTGGACACTAGGTACAGATGAGAAGTTTTGGTTAGAAGTGTCATAAGTTAGGGTTGTAAACTGCTGCCAAAACATGCTAACATCATTATTTGGTTGTATTGCTGAGAATATTGCTCACCACCAACCTACGCCCCTTAAAGATATACTTTGTTACTATTTTAATTAGAGGAGAAAACTGGCTCTTGGGCAAAATGGCCTTTCCCTGCAATCAGCACAGTGCCTTTCCCTATTGTAGATACACAATAGGTGTTTTGTGGAATAGGTAGATCAAGGCCGGGTTTTAGAACCATGTCATTGCCCTAAGGAAGGGCAGCTTGGGATCCCAGAGAATGGGCCCATGCATGGCCTTTGTGTGGGATGAGTGCTTGGAATCTCATTTCGGGGTTCCTGCCCAGAGCCTGAGTGGAGGGAATACTGAGGCAGGGACCGCACATGGATGGTGACCTCTGTCCACAAGGTGAGTACTGGAGAATTGCAATCTTGGCTGCAAGGGAGAGATATGGAAGAAAGGAGAGAAAGGGCTAGTCTGTCCAAACTGACCATTAGTAAATCAGGGCAGCAAGACATCACTGATACGATTTGGCTGCCCAGGAAATGTCACTAACCCTAACAGTATGGCTGCATGTGAGGATCAAGGGTAAACACTGAACACCTTGCCCCCACCCTCTTTGAGCTTCCATGCCCCTAAATCCACCATTGCCCAGACTTGGTGAACTATCAGCTAAGAAATCAGAGATGTTTAATTTTGAAAATTGTTACAACTCAATATTTAGTCCAGTTAAAGCAATGAGACTTGGACCTGCTATATTTCTTTCAGCAAACTCTTACTGGGTACCTACCAAAACATTTAGCATTTCTCAGACTATTTAAATTCATGTCCCACTTTTGGTAAAGATAAAAATCTCGTGCTTTTCTTAAGTATATTTTGAAACTTCAAAAGCTGTTTTTTCATCTTCCACATATAAAATGGTCAAATATGTTTTTTTGAACTACACATTCCTTTGAAAATTCTGATATACCACTAAAAGAGGCCTAACTTCTCTCTTCTTCAACTCCTCCATTGAAAAATTCTGGTTTAATCCAATCCCTTCATCTTACATTTGTGAAATTAAGGTCCAAAAAGTGAATTAAATGGTCCTATATAGGGCTGGGACTAAGGTGAAGTGAGTGAAGGGGATGCCCAGAAACTCAGTAGTCAAGATAAAGATAAATAATATTTCAATGCGATATTTTTTTAAAATAAAAATTAACGCCAAAAAAAATCCATGATGAACAAAATATTGAAATTTTAAATAAAAAGACAAAGTGCCATGCTGAAGCATATTGGAGGTTTAAGCCAAAGGAAAAATCAGTAATGTTTTTATGCACTGGATATAGCATCAATTCTTTTTTTTTCTCTTAAAGTATTACAAAGAGTATTACACATGTCTCCTTCCCCGCCCCCCTTGACATTCCCCCGGCTTCCCCCACCCCCCAGTGTCTTGTGTCCATTGGTTATTCTCATATGCATGCATACAAGTCCTTCGGTTGATCTTCTAACCCTCCCAATCCTCCCCAGGGTTCCCACTGTAGTTTGACAGTCTATAGCATCAATTCTTAAGCTATAAGGTGCATATTACTTTCCAGTGAATTTGCTAAAATTTGGATTCCCGCCCTGGTCAGGTTGCTCAGTTGGTTGGAGTAGTTGTCTCCTACATCAAAAGGTTGCAGGTGTTTTTTTCCAGGCGGGAAGGAGTTGGATTTGATTCCCTGTTAAGGCATATACTGAGGTGTAGATTCAATCCCAGTTGGGATGGGTATGGTCAAAATCGATTGATGTTTCTCTCTCACATCGATGTTTCTCCCTCTCTTTCTCTTTCCCTTCCTCTCTCTAAAAGTCAATAAACATATTCTTGTATGAGGATTTAAAAAAATAATAATTTTTTAAAAAAATTCAGATTCCCAGGCTTTATCACTAGAGATTCTGATTCAGTAATTCTGGGATGGGGCTCATAAATCTGCATTTTAATAAGTAATTAAATGATTTTCATGTGATTGGAAGAGGAAGTTGGACTAATTAAACTCTGAGACCCCTCCTAATTTTGAGATTCTGGTTGTAAGTAGAGGGAAGGGACCCAGAAAGTTATAGAGGTGGCTCACAGACTGTCTCTGTTATCTGATTATTTCTTAAACTAATGGCCCAGTGCACGAATTCATGCACATTGAAAGGAAATTAATTAGAAGAAATATTTTAATATCTCTATTAGCCCTTTCTCTATAATAGAAGTGTCAACCAAATTCATGATCAACAATGGCAGATGGAAACACAGGCATGCGATTGGCGCCAGCGAGAGCTTTATATGTATCGTGCATACGTGAGTCAACTTGGGCTTTTACATAGAATAAACTTGCTTAATTAGACCTGCTTTCTGATGTAGCTAAACTTTTTCCAGCTCAGTGAAGCACTCCAACTTCTCAGGTAATTGTCAGCAACACAGCAGTAAATATCAACACGAAGCAGATTATTATTGTAGATCACACAAGGAGAACAAAGGGTAAAATATTTAACTGCACAGTGTTTGACTATATTCTGTGCAGTGAGAAAACCTGAAGTCATTTTCAAGGTCCACCATTTCTTCTTTTCAGTCGGGTCAAATTTCTAAGCTTTTTAAATCTCCGTTTTCCGGCTAATGAAAAGAAAATAGGATTCCACTGAGTCTCTTATCTTCCTACTCCAGGACTTCTGTGAGGATCAAATGAGATGAGGCACGGGAAAACTCTTCACAGACATTTGGTTACAGTGTAAAATGTTTCCACTTGGGTGTTCCTGGGTTGAAGAAACTGCAAGGAGGCTAGTCGCTAGGGAGAGGAAGCCGGGCATTGCTATGTGACATTACCCAGACGGTTAGACACTTAGCATATTAGCCTTTTATATATATAGATAGTAGGAGCTCACAAAGAATAGGCACTGGTGATAGAGTAGTGATAAGATAAACATGTAAGCCCTGGACAGTGTTTCTCAGTGGTTGGAACATCATCCTCCAACCAAAGGGTCTTGGGTTCGATTCCTGATCAAGGGCACTTACCTCAGTTGTGGGTTTGATCCCTAACCCCACTTGGGGTGTGTGCAGGAGGCAACCAATGTGTCTCTCTCATGTCGATGTTTCTCTCTCTCTCCTGCTCCACACCCTCCTCCCTCCCTTCCACTCTGTCTGAAAATCAATGGAAAAAATATCCAAGGGTGAGGATTAACAACAACAAAAAAGATCAACATGGAAGTCTAGAGGGGGAGATAATCCAAAAAAAAAAAAAAAATCAAGTGGTGGCAAGTGCTATGCAGGGAATTGAAGTAATAATGTGTTAGAATAGCTAGGGGGTTATTTTACATTGGTTGGGGATGGCCTTTCTGAGATGACATTTAAACTGCAAACTGGTCCTGGCTGGTGTGGTTCAGTTGGTTGAGCATCATCTAATGTATCAAAAGGTTGCCAGTTTGATTCCCCGTCAGGGCACATGCCTGGGTTGCAGGCTCCATCCCCCATATGGGGTGTGCAGGAGGAAGCCGAGCAATGATCCTTTCTCATCATTGATGTTTCTATCTCTCCCTCTCCCATCCTCTCTAAAATCAATAAAAATATATTTTAAACCCCCACAAATGTTCTTATTAAAAAAACAAAACAAGTGAAGATGCTGGTTTCCTTGAAGGGATGATGACTGGCAGAGGGCTTCTGGGATGCTGGTAATGTTCTGGTTCTTTACCTGGGGTTTGATCACACAGGTGTATTCAGTTTGAAATTCATTAAACTGTACTTTTTTTGTGCGCTTTTCTGTATGTTATGCTTCAATAAAAATTTCATTGCCAAACATGACATACAAATGGCTATAATGAAAATATGGTCGGTCAACATCATTAGTTATTAGGGAAATGCAAATGAAAACCACAATAGAAATCACTTCATACCCATTAGGATAGCTATTAAAAAAAAGAAAATAGCAAGAGTTGGCAAGTATATGGAGAAATTGGAACCCTTGAATATTACTAGTGGGAATGTAAAATGGTGCAGCCACTATGGAAAATAATTTGGCAGTTTCTCAAAAAGTTAAATATAGAATTACCATATGATCCAGCAATCCACTCCTAGGTATACACCCCAAAGAACTGAATACCAGTTCAAGCAAATACTTGGACAGGAATGTTTACAGCAGCGCTATTCAAAGTAACCAAAAGGAAACAACCCAAATGTCCATCAACTGATGTATGGATAAACAAAATGTCGTATATTCATACAATGAAATATTATTCATCCATAAAAAAGAATGAAGTAGTAATACATGCTACAATGTGGATGCACCTCAAAAACAGTATGTTAGGTGAAAGAAACCAGATATAAAAGATTAAATATTTTATTATTCCATTTACATAAAATATCTAGGAAAATCTGTAAAGACAGAAAGCAGTTTAGTGGTTGCCAGAGACTAGGAGGAAGGTAGAATGATGTGATTAATGGGTGTGGGTTTCCTTTTGGGGTGATAAAAATGTACTGAAATTAGATGGAGGTGATGGTTAGACTAATCATGTATTTAAATGCCACTTAATTATACCCTTTAAGATGGTTAATTTTATGTTGCATGAATTTTACTTCAGTAAAAATCTTTCCAACCTAAAAATTTCATTAAAAAGAGATGGCTGCAATAACAAAAGAGTAATTGTGTGAGGTGAAGGATATGTTCATCTTATTGTGGTAATCATTTCACAGTATATACTAGTATGTGTATCAAATCACATTGTACACCTAAAACACACTAGTGTTACATATCAATTAAATCTCAACAAATCTGGAAAGGGTGAGTGAGTGGTTTAAGAGAATGAATTTGGAAGATGGAACGAGGGAGACCAATAAGAATTCTTGGCAGTAGTTCAGACAAGATTTAATGTTGGCTAGAGCAAAGGAGGTAGTAATTGCTGGGGAGAGAAGTGGGCAGACTCCAGATATGTTGTGGAGTTGACAGGACTTGTTGGATTGAACATAGGTTCTGAAGGAAAGAAGAATTAAGATGACTCCTAGGTATTTTGCCTTGAAAAACAGGGTATGATGATGTTTTGTTATCCCTGATAGGGACCCCAAGTTCCAGGATGCAGGGTCTTCCTCCAGAGCTCAGCTGTAACCAACATTGGTATTCCTGAGTCAGTGACAGAGTCAGCAAAAGCTCCCCACCCTAACCTCAACCAGTTTCCACTGTAAGGTATTTTAAGTGACTCAGAATTATTGCTAACTCTCATTTAGCACGCCCATACCCATTTTCAACTCTCTGGTTATGATGCTAGTCCTACCCATGACATAGCTCTGCCCAGAGCCCTCCTCCCTATGCCTGGCAGGGTTATCTTTAAACAACTGTCCCCCTTACCCTCCCGGGAGGCTGAGCAGCCTCTCTTCAGACTCCCAACTCTTACTGGGCCTGATCTGTTCTCCACTTCTGCTGGGCTGCCTTCTCCCTACATTTATTTCTAAAGGCCTTTTGTGCCACCCCAATACTTTCCTGCCCAAAGCTTCACCTGAATCCCCCCCACCTTACCTGAGGACTTGGTACTCCCAGGCAGCTACTCTGACTTACGTGAGCCTCACCTGGTATCTCTCCCTCCACAGGGGACCCCCTCCCCACAGAGGGCCGGCTCACGAACAACTGTATCCAGGCCAGGAGGAAATGCCAGGCCAATCCGACTTGCAATGCTGCTTACCACCACCTGAGTTCCTGCACGTCTAGTGAAAGCACCCTGTCACCAGCAGAGGAGCCTTCCGTTTCATTGGACTGCTTGGAGGCAGCACAGCACCTCAGGAACAGCTCTCTGATGAGTTGCACATGTCACCGGCGCATGAAGAACCAAACTGCCTGCCTGGACATCTACTGGACTGTTCACCCTGCCCGTAGCCTTGGTGAGGTCCCCTTCCTAGAGTGGACTAAGCTAGAGAAGATAGCTCTAGGGCAGTGGTCGGCAAACTGCGGCTTGCGAGCCACATGCGGCTCTTTGGCCCCTTGAGTGTGGCTCTTCCACAAAATACCACGTGCGGGTGCGCACGTACAGTGCGATTGAAACTTCGTGGCCCATGTGCAGAAGTCAGTATTTTGTGGAAGAGCCACACTCAAGGGACCAAAGAGACGCGTGTGGCTCGCGACCCGCAGTTTACCGACCAGGGCTCTAGGGGGTTGCTTTTTAATCCTTCAGTATATGAGCCACTTGGTAGTGGAGGGAGGAATTGGCAGTATCCTTTTGGGTCTCCCAACATTACCATTTCACTTCCCTACTTCCCACTTTCTTTCTTTTTTTTAAATATATTTCTTTATTGATTTCAGAGAGGAAGGGAGAAGGAGAGAGAGATAGAATCATCAATGATGAGAGAGAATCATTGATCAGCTGCCTCCTACTGCTGTACACTCTCTACTGGGGATCGAGCCCACAACCCAGGCATGTGCCCCTGGCAGGAATCGAACCCGGGACCTTTCAGTCCGCAGGCTGACGCTCTATCCACTGAGCCAAGCCAGCTAGGGCTACTTCCCACTTTCTTACCTGACAACATGTAGCTGCCTCTTGGCAGAGGCCTGAATCAGGCCGAGGCCCAATCTGAGGAGCTGCTGGAACAGAAGAGTTTGGAGAGGAGGTGGAGGAAAATGGTCTTAATCCATAAACAAGCTCCAAATACAATGTAATCCATAAATTCAGAGACTGGGAGGCCTTCAACAGAAAGGATACTCATTCCAGGCAGGAGATGGTAAAAGAGAGAATGTATTTGAAGAGCCAAAGAGAAGAGCTCCCTCTGACTCTCTGTGTTAGTCAGTTTTTACCGGACCATGCCGTAGTAACAAAGATTTAGTTCTTACTCATGTTCCATGTTGGCTGTTCCATGTGTCCCCTTCATTTTGGGATCCAAGTTGAGGTTACAGCCTCTATCTGGGATGTTCCCTTCTTATAGCAGAGGGAATTGAACAATGGCAGGACCATGTGATGGCTTTAAAAGCTCCTGCTCAGATGTTATATATAAAATACTTCTGCTCACATTTCATTGATAAAGTAAATCACATGGCAGGCATGCCTGACATCACTGGGGAGGGGATGTATACTCCTCCCACAGGGAGACATTGAAAATCACATGCCAATAAGTGAGGATATATACTCTTACAGTGAGGGCAAAATTAACTGGAAATAGTAATACAGTCTCCATAGTCCACCACTTGGTCAAAATATTCATTTTCCTCTCTTTCACAAGCAAAATATACTTATACACATCTTAGGAAGATGCCCTAAGAGTTTTATCCAAGAACGACATCAGGCTTCAAGTCCAGGATCTTGTGATTATTTCTATATCAGGTCTGAGTGTGGCTCCACTTGATTTAGAAAATTTTGGACTTAAAAAGACAAGTCATCTGCCTCCCATTTATACTCAATGCACAATAATGGAACAGGAAAACCAGAACAAATGTTGTCAGTAAGAAAGAAGAGGGATGGGAGTCATGCAGCAGACATTGATTCTTAGAGACTCTGAAGTCCTGCTAGACAAATGTCACAGGGCCAACTTCCTTGGGAACTGGGGTTGTTCTTGCTCCAATGGGAGAGTTGCTCTATTCATTGTTCTCTAGCTCTCTGGGAGGTCCTTCCTTGTCTGTTACAGTAAGTCCTCACTTAATATCATCGATAGATTCTTGGAAACTTCGACTTTAAGTGAAGCGACATATAATAAAACCAATTTTCCCAGAGGCTAATTGACATAAACAAGAGTTAAGTTCCTACGGCATGTTTCTGGCTTCAAAACATCCCCAAATTTCTAAATAAAGACCCAAACATTTCTGATATTAAACCTTGAGATAAATGTGAGCTATATATACATTTAAGAAAGACTAATAACAAGTAAGATAATTTATTCCAGTTCAGGGTCGTGGGTGACCAGAGCCTATCCTGGCAGCTCAGGGTGCAAGGCGGAAACCCACCCTGGACAGGAGGCCCTTCTATCAAAGGGCCACTCACACCCACAGCCACTCTCACTCAGATGAGACAATGTACACATGCTGGTTCACCTAATGTGCATATTTGGGAACGGGGAGGAAACCGGAGTACCTAGAGAAAACCCATGCAGACATGGGGAGATGTGCAAACTCCACACAGGCAGTTGCTCTGTGGGAAATCAATTTTTTTTCTCACCAACATTACAATGAAACAGCATAGAACTAAATGACATAATTCAAAGACCTGCTGTGTTTTCTTTGGCCACATCTGAAAAGGGCTGGAGAGAGAACCTGACCTCCTTGGGGACTGAGCAGCATTCTCAGCCTGCTTCTTTTTTTTAAATTTTTATTAAATATATATTTTATTGGTTTTTTACAGAGAGGAAGGGAGAGGGATAGAGAGTTAGAAACATCAATGAGAGAGAAACATCAATCAGCTGCCTCCTGCACACTCCCTACTGGGGATGTGCCCGCAACCAAGGTACATGCCCTTGACTGGAATTGAACCTGGGATCCTTCAGTCCACAGGCCGACGCTCTATCCACTGAGCCAAACCGGTCAGGGCTCTGCCTGCTTCTTATCTGAGGAATGTTGGGGCATTTTAAGTCTCAAATAGGCACAGTCTCTTTTAATCCAAATTAGTGACTCTTAGTAGTTCAACTCTTTCAAAATATAATTTCTTTTTATACTTTGACTTCTGTCACCTCCTGTGCCAGTAGTAGCCTTTCCTGTAATTATTTTCCAAGACATCCATCTCTTTCTAGACTGAATTAGAGATACCTTGCCCTTATCAGGCTTCTGTGGGAGAGCAATTACCTTATTCTTTTTTCCCTAAATTCATTTGTCCAACTGGCAGGATTTATTGGATATCATCTCAATCAATGAGAGATCTCCACAAAGGGCATGATAACCACAAACTTGATTTGGTCTTTGCTCCAAGGCTGAGTTGTAACAGACTTTATTAGTCAAAGCATTTTTCAATTTTATCTTTTACCATTTGAAGATGAGAAGCAGTTGCAACTCTTAATCCTGTAAGTCCTGGAATTTCTGGATTTTGCCTTTTCTGTTTCCTTTCTATTTGCAAACTGGCCAGTTCTTTTCCGAGCTTATATCTTCCTTCGAGTCCCTTGCCAAATGCAGCCAATAGCCATGAAGACATACTAACCTTCTGTTTCTCAGCTTCTCCCCTTAAAGTAGGAGCTCATTCAGTATATCATCTTTCTTCCAAGTTCACCACCCTGTTCAGTCCCAAAGCCAATGCCATACATTAGACTTTTGTTGTTGTTGTTCCTGCAGCACTCCACTTCTATTTACCAATTGCATTTTTAGTAAGAATTTGCTAGGTTATGCTGCAGTAACAACCAACCAACCTCAAAATCTCTGGCTTTCAACAACAAAAATGTATTTCTTGCTCATGTTACACATCTGCTGCAGGCTTCCATGAGTTGCTCTACCTGTCTTCTTCATTCAGGGATACCGGCTGATAGAGGTAAGAGAGCAACAGCAGAACCAGGTAATGGTTCTTAAAACTTTTGCTCCGATGGATGTGATTTATAAAACTTCAGCTCACAATGCACAAGCCAAAGCAAATCACATGGCCAAGCCTGGCAGTGAGACAGGGGTCCGAAAGTCACATGGCAACAGGTGGGGATGTATAATCTTCCCACAGGGTGGGTAGCAAATAATTAGAAACAGTAATACAATTTATCACACTCTTTGATTCCTGCTTCTCACTCCTCATTTTAATCCCTTCTGTTTCAGAACTTGCCCTGAGACTTCTCCTTGGATCCTTTTGCCTCCCTCTTCCCCTTAGAAGCATGAGGTCTTTCCATGTATCCAAACTGTCCTCTCCTCTTTGGATGACATCATCCATATTCCTCATTTCCCGAAGATGCATTCATAGAGGTTTATTGGGTGACAAACCTGCAAGCTCACCTCTCTCACCTCTCTTCCAGCAAGATTTATTAACCAACATTTATTGAGTACCTACCATGTATATGAACTATGCAGTGATTTGATAAAACCCAGTAAGCCCCCTTAAGGAGCCCACAGCCCCATGGGGGTACTGTGAGAGATGTGTTTCCTTCGAGATCATTGTTTCTTCCTTTTATGCTTTTCTCCCTCAGGTTCAGTTTGGGACCTGACCTCACTTCCATCTCCTCAGCCTGCAGTGCTTCTCCATAGCCAAGTGGTCAGGCCTGGAACAAAGTCTACCACTGCCCCTTCTCCAATAGGAAGAGAAAACAAGACAGAGTACTGTTGCCTGCTCATGGACCCTCAGAAATATGTCTAGTGGTTAGGAGCAGAGATTCTGCAATCAGATAGTCTAGGTTTGAAATCCCAGCTCCACTTTTTAGCTTATGTGAGCCTGAGCGAGTGACTTAACTTCTCTCGTCCTGTTTCTTCTTACCGAGCCAAAGGCTTCTTAGGAGGATTAAGTGAGATCAAATACATATAGAATATATGTACAGGATGTCCTCCCAAAGTGTATACACACTTTAACAGCTGATAGCTCAATTGATGTTTGTTTCTTTTCAGATTTAACCCATTGGAATTAACAATGGGTTAAAAGTATGTATATAATTGGGGGGACACCCTGTATGTATAGGGTGTCACTTATACTATAGTGCCCAGCACACAGTGTGCTCAACATGGTACCTTTACTATTCTTATCATCAAACCTAGTTTATTCATGGCCCTGCTTTTCTCTCTCTTCTGCACAGCTTACAGCTAGTTAGGAAGAGACTGCATTTTCCTTTTCTGCACAGGGCTTTGAGGTCTGACTCAGCAGCCTCAGCCCCTCCTGCTCCCGTCCCCAGCCCGGTCCTCAGGACTCTGGTGCTCCCCATCTTGTCTCTAGGTGACTATGAGCCGGATGTCTCCCCCTATGAAGACACAGTGACCAGAAAACCCTGGAAAATGAATATCAGCAAACTGAGCATGCTCAAGCCAGGTGTGGAGGCAAGCAGAGACTATGGTGTGGGGGCTGGGCCTGGGCCCTGGTGGGGAACACAAGCTGGGAGCCTGTGAGGGAAGAGTCCTCACCTGCCAGGTAACTAAAGCAGCGTTGTGCAGGGTGGGAGCCTAAGTTCTGGGGCATAGCCTGGCCTCACAAGAGTCATCAAAGAGCAATAGTTATCAGGGAGGCATTCAAAGTGAGCCCATTAGGCCTCCTTGGTTCCAAAAGGTGGGTTTCTGCAAAGGGTTTGTGGGGGTGGCAGCAGTCCCAGAAAAAAAATGTGCTGAAATGGATTATTTACCCTCATTCGAGGTAGGCACGAAAGTAGTTTTTTGCCCTGGCTGGGTAGCTCAGTTGATTAGAGCATCGTCCCAATAGGCCACAGTTGTGGGTTTGATCCCTGGCCAGGACACATATAAGAATCAACCAATGAATGCATAAGTAAGTGAAACAACAAATCCATCTTTCTCTCCCTTCCTCTTTCTCTCTAAAAAAAAAACACCAAAAATTCTTTTTAAGTAGTTGTTGTTGTTTTTTTGTCTCTGAAGACTAGGAAATTGCTTGTTTTCAACCATTTTAATGGGATGGGCAGGGAAAATGGTTAGAGAGTGACTCCTCAGGAGTGTCTCAGGGTGGGGAGCCATCTGTCTGGCAAGGACTATGAAGCATGTTTTTCAGGAAAGTGAAGCTGTCGTGTTAATTGGAAGGGAATGCACACACATCCACTCTCTTTTTGAGAAAGATGGGAGTTTTGTTATATAGTCCTATATATTCAAATTTTGAGAGAAAAGCAAAGAGATTTATACATAAACTCTTAGTTACACGAAATCCAGGAATTTACCTGTTCCAGTTACTCCATTGTTCTGATTGCTGGAATATTCTATTAATTGGAATATCACCGTAATTTCCCAAGACTCAAGAGAATGGGAAACTTTTATGCATGCATCAACCAATGCAAGAAAAGCAGGTGATATTAATACTGAGCAGAATAGATAGATGTAAAACAAAACTAAAATCCTAAGTAGAATTTGGTTGCATTTGTTGGACAGTTCAGAAAGTGCTTTATTAATCCTCACCAGAGGATATTTTTTCCATTGATTTTAGAGAGAGAGGAAGGGAGGAGAAGAGACAGAGAGAGAATCAGTGATCTGAGAGAGACACATGGATTGGTTGCCTCCCGCAGGGGCCTGGGTATCAAGCCTGCAACCTAGATATCTGTTTGAAAGCCAACAAGGCTGTAACAACTGAGCAAACCAGCTAGGGTCAGAAAGTGCTTTAGATCGTTGTAGCTTATTTCCACCATGAGATTTCGTTTGATACATAAGATAGAGGAAAGGGTTTTGGTTATTTGAGCTTTCTGACTACTTGAATGCTAGATAAATGAGCTCTAGATGTATGTGGCTTTTCTGC